TATGGGGAATAAGAGTGTGGATGTATTATGAGTGAGTATAGGTGCATGATGAATGAGCGTGAAGCTATGGGGAATAAGAGTGTGGATGAGGATGCTGACTTCAACCAATGCTAGCCCTGCTCATCTAATGCCGTCCTCTTCGTGTCGCACACTAGACGAACGGACGCAGCAGCATCGACCATCGCAGTGAGAATGGTGCTGAGAGCCTCGTCGTTATCCGCATCAAACCTGACGAGCAGGGACGCTTCGGCTTCAACGTTAAGGTAGCGCACCATGCTGGCCCAGCAGCAGCAATACCATTACAGTATAATAGAATTGGGGTTGGGTGGTTAGTGTTGTGATTAAGGTCAGTTTTAGGGTTAGGTTTAGTGTTGGGGTTAGAGTTGTGGTTAAGGTCAGTGTTAGGTTTAGGATTGGGGTTATGTTTAGGGTTAGTTTTAGGTTTGAGTTTAGAGTTATGGTTGGGGTCAGTTTTAGGGTTAGGTTTAGGGTTGGAGTTAGAGTTGTGGTTAGGGTCAGTTTTAGGGTTAGGTTTATGGTTGGGATTATTGTTGTGGTTATGGTCAGTGTTAGGTTTAGGGTTGGGGTAATAATTAGAGTTATGGTTAGGGTTAGTTTTAGGCTTAGAGTTTGGGTTAGACTTAAGGTTAGGGTGAGAGTAAGGGTTGGGATAAGTTGTGTTAGAGTAAGGTTTAGAGTTAAGATTAGGGTTAGCGTTGGGCTGAGAGTTGGGTTTAGGGTTAGAGTTGGGGATGGAATTTGAGGTGTATGAAGTGGTAATTTAAGAGTTGTAGTTAATGTTATGGTTAGTAGAAAGGTTAGGTAACTAATGCGCCTGGCCCTGATGCTAACCTTAGCACTATGGTGGTTCGTTCTTGCCATCGTTTCGTTATTACAGTCTAGTCGAGTTGTAAGATTTTAAAGTTTTCTAAAGTTGTAAAGCTTGAAATGTTATGTCTTGAAAGATTCGATAGCACGCTGGTGATGATACAGCAGTTGTGATCACGCGTGTCATCTGCTCACAGGGAGGCTGTGATCAGAACATGCCTGTGCTTGTATCGCGGGTAGCCCCTAACATGCCGGCCGACCTGTGCACACCACGACTCAACGAGGGAGACCAGGTCCTACGCATCAATGGCAACGACATCTCCGTCATGGAGCATGACCAGGTGTGTGGCACTATACTGTACCACCAACGCATAACAAGAATCAGCACTTATACCACTTAAGCACTAGAAAAAACACAGATAAAACTCCATCTTACCACTTCCTCTAAGTACTGCCTCTAGTGACTTTGGAATCTTATTGTATCTACTACTTCTAACTACTTCATATATATACTTCTTGTAACCGTTTTCTGTAACTACTTCTAACCTCTTCCTGTACTTCCTCTATACACCTCATGTAAATACTATCTCTGATCAAATGTAGAATCTCGCTGCCCCCTAAATACTTCATCTAAACACCGCCCGCAACATCTATTAGCTCTCGTCCCTAACATGCTCCGCTCTGGGGACCTCGTGCAGAAATCCATGGTTTTCGTTTGTTTTTCTACTAACTGTGCATTGTCCTTGGTGTATCTTTGGTAGCATTCTCTCACGAAGTCGCTCTTTCAAATGACAGCTTCAGATGAAGCACACTAAATCAGGTTTATCTTCCTGGTAAATAGTTTTAACCATGCTGGCGGCAAGGCAGTGGCACGTGTCAGTATCTAGGCGTCGCAGGACACGTGTTGAGTTGTTCCTAATATGAATTTTATGTGTCTAGGTCGTCGCCTACATCAGACAGTCGGCAAGTAACAGCACCGGTCTGGTGCTCACAGTAAGACCTAATGGTAAGTCGTGAATTTTAACTCCAGGGGGTTGAAATTAAGGAAAGTCGAGAGTCAACTACTTACTATTGTTTCACTGTTTGATTCACGGATTTGACATCAACAGGAGTTCTTTTGCCACCCTAAAAAATCCTGCTGTGCGTTTCTAATGATTACAAAAACATTGAATACATGCGAATTTCAGTGTTAGGTCAAATCATATTCTGTGATAAAGTGGTTAACCTGTGCAAAAATTAATTACTAGGTTAGAAATCACTCCCTGCGAGCTGATCTGGTTCAGCACACACAAATGTTCAACCATGTTCTATCTGCATAAAGTGATTCTAATAGGGTTGTTCGGGGGGGGGGGGGCTATCAAATTGATAATCATGTAACTAGGGGTGAGCTGTGACTTAAAAGCCGTGATGTGTACTATACCTAACCCTGACTGCTTAACCCTATCCCTAACCCGACCCCTATGCGTGTTAGCATGAAGGACGAGCGTGTGATGGCAGTGATGCGGTGAGTGAAGCTGTGTGTTGTTCTTGCAGTGTACGTCGGTGACGATGAGGAGCCTGAGGCGCAGTGTGTGCCGGAGCTGCAGCGTGTCGCTCGCACGGTGCCGCCCAACGACCGACTGCCGGAGTCTGTGCGCATCCTCAACGACAGCCTAGCCAGCGGACTCACACTCGAGCAGTTCGAGGTACGCGTGCAAGAAGCGAAGAATGCTCACACACTCACGTTCAGACACGCGCACGCACTCACGCTCAGACACACGAACGCACTCACGCTCAGACACGAACACGCACTCACGCTCGGACACGTGCACGCACTCACGCTCAGACACGCGCACGCACTCACGCTCAGACACGCG